CCACAGGAGGAGTGCTCGCCTCCAGGTCAGGAGAGGCGAGTCACCTGAGGATCGGGGCCGCTCTATGCCTCGGGGCAGATAAAATGAAATTACTTAGCTTTAGCAAAGATGTTCAAAGAATTATGAAAGAATATTATGATCATGAGAAGTTGGTAAGGATAAGATTTAAGTTTTAAGTTTTAAGGTTTATTTTATTATAGAAAGATAAGGTCAAGGATTTGCTGGGATAATTAATAACTAGGATACAAAGAAAGGGAGGAGGAGGAGGTCTAGGAAAGAAGGTAATGACAGTTAAGGATTTGAAAATAATGAATTTGTTTTTAAATGTTTTTAAAGTTTTGTGATTTTTGCATTCTTCTTTTTTTCTTTTTTTCTGTCATTTTTTCTCATTTGGAATTTTTTTGTATATGGTGGGAAGGGGTTGGTTTTTTTCCTTTCCTTTCTTTTTCTATTTTGGTAATTATTTTTATCCTTTGTATTCTCTTCTGCTTTTATTTTATTTTTTCTCTTTTTTGTAACATTTTGAAAATCTCAATAAATATCTTAAAAAAAGAGAAAAAGATAAAAGCCGGCCAGCCCCAGTCCCAAGTTGTGGGAGCAACATTGTTGGTTGCTAGTTCTTGCCTGAACCCTGCCCTGCTCTTCTGCCAGAGTTCCTGCCCTGGCTCCCTGCTTGCATGCCTGTTCCTGACTATACCCGGCTCCCTGCCCTGCACCCAGCTTCAGCTACTACGGACTACCTCCATGTCGCACCTTTGACCTCGGACCGGACTTGGACCTCGCCTCTCAGGTAACCCACGGGACCAGCACAAAGACCCTGCAGCCCACCACCAGGCCCCAGGATCTAATTCATCTTCTGTACCTTCGGGGGGCGCTCTTGGGTGGGCAGCTTTAACTACTCTTCCTTATCTGGCCAGTCACTGACAACTGGTTACATATGTGTTCCATTCATGGCATCCCCCTCGCTGCTCCTGTTTTGGTTTTCCTTAGCTGGGAATTCTGTGTGTGTAGGAAGTAGCCTGTTGTGCAAAGTTAAAATTTGCATCCATTGCTCCACCCACTCTCACCTCTGGCCCAGCACAGGCATGTGGCCGTTAGAAGACTGCCCAGAAGGAAATGTGGCCCTCAGAACATTTCCCCCATCCCTGTGATTAAAAAAAATACAAGTGGATAAAAAGGAGGGCGTAGAATCTTCAGAAAAGGCGAACAACAAGAACAACAATTTATACTCCGCCCATCTGGCTGGGTTTCCCCAGTCACTCTGGGTGGCTCCCAACAGAATATTGAAAACACGACAAAACATCAAACATCAAAAACTTCCCTAAACATGGCTGCCTTCAGATGTCTTCTAAAAGTCAGATAGTTGTTTATTTCCTTGACATCTGATGGGAGGGTGTTCCACAGGGCAAACACCACTACTGAGAAGGCCCTCTGCCTGGTTCCCTGCAACCTCACCTCTCGCAGGAAGGGAACCACCAGAAGGCCCTTGGAGCTGGACCTCAGTGTCCTGGCTGAACGATGGAGGTGGAGACGCTCCTTCAGGTATACTGGACCGAGGCCATTTAGGGTGTTGAAGGTCAGCACTGACACTTTGAATTGTGCTCGGAAATGTACTAGGAGCCAATGTAGGTCTTTCAGGACTGGTGTTATATGGTCTTGGTGGCCACTCCCAGTCAGCAGTCTAGCTCTGTTGCCTTAGACATGGAGTGAAGCATAATAAGAAAGGTCTAGATCAGGTATCCTTTCAGTGATCAGGCCTGTTATTATGAACCTCAATTGGCTGTTAAGCCACCATGAGGACATGGTCTAAAAATAGCTTTTGACTATTGACACCTTTTGCATAATTTATTTATCAAGCGAAGTATTTAATGGTTCATGTCCGGTATCAGAAATGGATGTGCACCAATTCTTGGCTGCCTCATAGAATCTTGCAGCTTGTTGAAAAGGGGAATACCTTTCTTGAAATATGCTCAAGAAAACCAGCAGGTTCTAACCAATTAAATATCCTTTTTTTTGGTGCCAGCTCATTTTTTTTCCTTCAAGGGGTCACTGCACTCAAATGGGCAGCGTGTTAAACTTAGGCCTCAAAACCTCAGCTTCAAATTACCTCTGCAAATACCAGGAGGGGTCATTTGCTATCCAGATCTGAAACCTATCTGTGCGAAGTGAAATAATACATCTTAATTTCAAAACCAATAATCTTGCCTTGGTGGCACATGCTCTAGGTACACCCTATAACCTTTGCTTTACGTTACCCAAGTAAAAGCCTTTCCAAAGTTGTTTAGCTCTAATGGACTGAGCTGTCTACACCATATCTAGCAGCAATAGCAAGTTCTTTATTGATCTCAAAGCAGAAAACAAAGAACCACACACACACACACACACACACACACACACACACACACACCCTGCATGGTGCAAAATAAACCTTGATAAGGTACTTTGGACGTGTTCTCTCTCTCTCTCTCTCTCTCTCTCTCTCTCACACACACACACACACACACACAATCACAAGGTAGATTGTGTAGGCACAGTGGCATAGCAAGGTCAGGTGGTACCCGGCGCGTAAAATTTATTGTCACCCCCCCATTGAAATTATTAAAAGAAGGAAAAATAAGATACTTGCAGTAGGCAGCATTTTGTGAATTCAAGCTGCTTACACAGATATACACACCTGATAGGAGACAGATAAGTAACGTCACACAGCCCAGTCGGTTTCATAAGTGGACACTGTCTTACGTAAATTGGCTCAAAGGTTTCGAAATAGGTTATGAAACCTACTTCAGACAGAGCACAGCAAACCGAAAGGACAACAAAATTATAAAACTGAAACGGTAGCGAACCAGGAGGGCCTTGAGACTGCACAAAAGCTGAACATACAGGCATGCTGTATTGAATTGCATCCCTAGTTGAGATCTGTCATTCCAGTATGTTGTAAAATTATACCAGGGTTCTAATACATTTATTTCTGCATCTGCTGCCCATTCCTATAACCTTTTATACGATGAGATCTTATTCACACACATCTGTGCTAGGCAGCTATTTCCCATTGCTTGATGCCTCTTCGCTAGAGTTCCTGACAGACACTGTTCATTGTTGTGGCACCGATTGTACATTTTCATTTCCCCATGGAAAGGGGAAGCAGTGACAAATCCAGTGGGTATGATTGGGCTGACCCTGGAAGAGTACACCTACATGTGTGTTATGTACTGAGTTGAATAGGATCCAAAAGGCAGCAGTCTGATTGGTCCTAGAACAATAAGATCCAAAATGCAGCAGTCTGATTGGTCCTAGAACACTAGGATTCAGAATGCAGCAGTCTGATTGGTCCTAGAACAATAGAATCCAGAATGCAGCAGTCTGATTGGTCCTAGAACAATAGGATCCAAAATGGAGCAGTCTGATTGGTCCTAGAACAATAGGATTCAGAATGCAGCAGTCTGATTGGTCCTAGAACAATGCAGCAGTATGATTGGTCCGCAGGAGCCACCCAATCCAGCTGCAGGTGGAAGTGAATCCACAACCTGATTAGCCGACAGGAGAATCCCGGAATTAGCCAATCACGTGCAGCCCATTGTGTAAATAATGTATATAAAGCAGATATTGTGGGGGAACTACCATTCCTCCTCACCACTATGAGCTGAATAAAGAGCATGAAATCCACTCTCGACTCCGAGTATATTTCAATGTGCCTACCTAGAAATGAACCATAGCTGATTCCTGAACCTGGTGTCCTCCAGAAGTTGTGGATGACAACCTTCATCATCCCTGACCCTTGACTGTCCTGGCTGGGGTTGATGGGAGTTGTAGTCCAAAGCATTTGCAGGGCACCAGGTTGGGGAACACTGCACATCTCTCAATCATTGGCCAAAGCAATTTGTCCTGCTCTAAAATAGGGATATTATTACTGTAATATTATGAGTCTCAATGAATGACTCAATTTTCTGGCAGGTACAGTATAGTCATAAGGACCAATTGTGTCCTTGTGGAATGAATCAAACCTTCCATATGCATTTGCCTCTGTGTAGCTTTGATGATGTATCTAGTCAAAACTGGTTGGCTTGGGCATGGAGGAAACCACCAATTATAATTATCTTTGGCCTTCTTCTTCAATGACAGACCTTCTGTAACTAGTTTCCTGCCGGGAAGCCGCGGAAGGTATATATATATATATATATATATATATATATATATATATATTAGAATCATAGAGTTGGAAGACACCACAAGGGCCATCGAGTCCAACCCCCTGCAAAGTCAGAGCACTCCTGACATATGGCTGTCAAGCCTCTGCTTAAAGACCTCCAAAGAAGGAGACTCCACCACACTCCTTGGCAGCAAATTCCACTGTCAAACAGCTCTTACTGTCAGGAAGTTCTTCCTAATGTTTAGGTGGAATCTTCTTTCTTGTAGTTTGGATCCATTGCTCCGTGTCCGCTTCTCTGGAGCAGCAGAAAACAACCTTTCTCCCTCCTCTATGTGACATCCTTTTATATATTTGAACATGGCTATCATATCACCCCTTAACCTCCTCTTCTCCAGGCTAAACATGCCCAGCTCCCTTAGCCGTTCCTCATAAGGCATCGTTTCCAGGCCTTTGACCATTTTGGTTGCCCTCCTCTGGACACGTTCCAGTTTGTCAGTGTCCTTCTTGAACTGTGGTGCCCAGAACTGGACACAGTACTCCAGGTGAGGTCTGACCAGAGCAGAATACAGTGGCACTATTACTTCCCTTGATCTAGATGCTATACTCCTATTGATGCAGCCCAGAATTGCATTGGCTTTTTAGCTGCCGCGTCACACTGTTGGCTCATGTCAAGTTTGTGGTCAACCAAGACTCCTAGATCCCTTTCACACGTACTGCTCTCAAGCCAGGTGTCACCCATCTTGTATTTGTGCCTCTCATTTTTTTTGCCCAAGTGCAATATTTTACATTTCTCCCTGTTAAAATTTATCTTGTTTGTTTTGGCCCAGTTCTCTAATCTGTCAAGGTCGTTTTGAAGTGTGATCCTGTCCTCTGGGGTGTTAGCCACCCCTCCCAGTTTGGTGTCATCTGCAAACTGGGAGGGGTGGCTAACACCCCAGAGGACAGGATCACAGGATCATTCATATATATATATATATATATATATATATATATATATATATATATACACACACCGTATTTTTCACTTTGTAGGGCGCACCGGACCATAGGGCACACTTAGTTTTTTTTGTGGGGGGGGAATAAAGAAAAAAAATTCAGGCTCAGACCCCTGACTTGGCCCAGCTGGTGTTTGTTGCAGGGGAACCTGTGCAGACTGGGACTCTTCAGGATCAGGCGCCAGACTTGGTTCAGATGATGCCTGAGGCAAAGGATGCAGACTGAGTCTCCTCTGGTTCCAAGTCTGAGCCCGAGTCCCAGGCCATCACACTCCTAAATCTGGGATGGGGAGCCTGTGGTCCTCCAGGCATTGTTGAACTACAATTCCCATCAGCCCCAGTGAGCATGGCCAATGGGCAGGGGTGATGGGAGCTGCGGTCCAACATCAGAAGGGCCTCAACTTCCCCATTTCTGGAAGAATCCACGCCCCCCTTTTAGAGCTGCAATTTCCACAGTGGTTTAACAGTCGACGCCTCTTCCCAGGGAACTCTGGGAATTGTAGCTCTGTGAGGAGAATATGGGTCTCTTAAGAAACCACAGTTCCCAGAATTCTTTGGGCGAAGCCAGGGCTGTTTAAAGTGGCATCGCAGCATTTTACATGGACGGCGTGAATGGTGGCCTGAGGCAAAGCGTGAGAGTTGTTGGGATCTGAGAAGGCAAGAAAGGCTGAGATCTTGCAAGAGATTGAGTTTCTCTTTGTCAACGGCTCTGCTATAACGGTTACCTGATTATCATATCGAGATTTAGCAGCCCCACATTTGAGAATGCTTGGCTGCGCTTGAAGATTTGCGGGGTGTGTGTGTTGCAACTTGAACTCGAGACCTGCCAGTGTCAGAGATAGTGAGGGACCAACAGAAGACTGTACAGAACGTGCCCTTTGTGTATTTACTTGTCTTCTCCTTTTACAGCTCAGGTTCTTTCCTTATAGCTTCTGTTAGCCCTCACCATTGGCCGCGCTGCCCGGGGCTGAGGAGAACAGCAGTGTGAAGCAAGAATTGCAGAGCAGACCAGATGGCACCCTACTTTCTACCCCTCAGAGTTTGCCGACTGAGGCAGCTGCCTCACTCTGCCTCACAACCCCGGTGTGAAATATATGGAGGGCACCAGGTTGGGCAAGGCTGCAGCGGACTGACCTGTTGGAATTTCCCTCCGTGTCTTAATGCTTTGATATCATTAGGAGAGCTTTTTGCTTAGGTTCCCCATTAGCATATCTGTCAACTTACAGATTTGAAAATAAGGGACCAGTAGCCTCAAAAATAAGGGATCAGCAGCCAAAATAAGGGATTTTAGTCAACCAGCTCCTTTCCTTCCCCCTATAACAGTCAATCGAAGGAGCTTCCAAAACAAATCCAAAAGCCCCCCCCTGAGATTGCCACCCGCCATTGTACTCAATCAGCTCCTTTCCTTTCCCCCCACCATGTGCCCCCGCTCCAGACAGACCTTTTCCCCAGCAAGGGTGAGTGGGCTGTCGATGACGTATCCATCCGATTCCGAGCACAGGTATGTTCAACTTCTGAGCCCCTCCGAGCCAAAGGCAGAAAGCCCAGCCAGCAGCCAAACGAAGCCTCAAGCGGTGGTTCCCACAGCACAGCAACCCGGCAAAGGGGATGCAGCAAGGAAAACCACCATCACCTCTCTGCTGGGAAGCGCTGAGCAGAGGCGAGTCCCCAGGCAACGCAGCCAGGCACAAGGCATGCAAGCTCCACCCCCCAGTCGTTCTTAGACTCCTTATTGGGTGAGCAATGCAGCCAAGCAACACAGTTGGAGCATCCCTCCTCCCTGGCCAGCAGGGAGGGAGGGAGAGGAGCTGCTTCCTTTGAAACCCGGGAAATTTAAGGGACATCATCAATAAGGGACAGCAGCGGGAAACGGCGCTGGGATAAGGGAGTTTCCCGCCAAATAAGGGACGGTTGACAGCTATGACCATTAGCGAAAGTAGCTACAAAGTGGTTAGTGCTGATTATAAAGAAGAGATGAGGGACTTCAGGACCAGGGACTGAATGTGGCCCTCAAAACTGCTCTACCTGGCCCTTGGAATGCTTCCCAGGCCACAATCCTCACTGCCTTTACTTCAGCCCCTGAATGTTCTCGCCTGGCTAGAATGTGTCTCCTTTAATTCTGCCAATGCATCTTCCTGGCCTGGATGGGGAGGAACAACAACAATTTATTATTTACCCCAGCCATCTGGTTGGGTTTCCCCAGCCACTCTGGGTGGCTCCCAACAGAACAACAACAACAGCAACAAAGCGATAAAACATCGAACATTAAAAACTTCCCTAAACATGACTGCATGTCCCAGGCCGTGACTTTAAGAACAGCTGAAGCTGCTGGGAACAGATAAGAGGCGTTCAGGAATTCATTTTTTAAAATAATTTTATAAGTTGTGTGTCTTTGTTTCTCAATTTGATCCTTTTACATGGTTTTTTATGTATTGTGGTTTTTTACGCATTGTGACTTGCAGCTATTTTTATTGATCCTAGTCTAGTAATTATTTACTGTAATTGTTAAGCGCGAATTTCCGTTTCATTATTATTTGCTGACGTTTTGAGAGTCAACTTTATTGTGTGCTCTTACATCCTAACAGATCATCGGATATGACTTTGTTTGATACGAGTCGTTCCATTTTAAAGTTATGTTTTATTATGACTTGTCGTATTGGATTGGATTATTATAAGGTGTGTGTTCTTTGTTGTATATTTTGTTGCCGTAAACGTCCTTGTGTGTAGTAATATAGAAAGGTGGTACAGTGGTACCTCGGGTTAAGTACTTAATTCGTTCTGGAGGTCCGTTCTTAACCTGAAACTGTTCTTAACCTGAAGCACCACTTTAGCTAATGGGGCCTCCTGCTGCCGCTGCGCCACTGGAGCATGATTCCTGTTCTCATCCTGAAGCAAAGTTCTTAACCCAAGGTACTATTTCTGGGTTAGCGGAGTCTGTAACCTGAAGCATATGTAACCTGAAGCATATGTAACCCGAGGTACCACTGTATACAAATTAAAAGTGAAAAGTAAGGAAAGGGAGGGGTGTAGGCAGAAACAAGCCTAGTGTACAAAGGTAGAATTTGCACTCATTGCCCTACCCATTTTTGCTTCTAGCCCCGCCCACCACTGGCAAATGGCCCTCGAAAGCTTGCTCAGAAGAGAATGTGGCCCTCAGATTGAATGAGATTCCCCAGCCTTGACATGAAGATTAGAGGGTGAGACCCACAGGTGTTCCATTGATTCCCTTGATGATCAATTTTCTGCCTTCTCTCTCGTTTCCCCCTCCAGCAGAGGTCAGTAGGTCCTTTCTGGCTTCATATTTTTTTTAAACGCTCATTAAGTCTGACGGGGCTCTCAGCTGGCTGGCACAGTGCACTTATATATCAGAAGTGAGAGCTGGTCTGCCTTGACTTCTTGCCGGTGTCAGTCAAAACTCATTTGACAACGGAGTCCTGTCTTGAGGAGCAACGGCTGGTCGCTCGTTGCTCCTTGTCCGCTCTTTTGATAAAACCGCTTGTTCAGAATCAGAGACCTGAACTAGGAGGGAAGACAAGACAATTTGCAATGTGGTGGAAAAGGAAACTTCTGTCTTCTCATTCGCAGACTGGTAGGACTTTGCTTTCATTGTGATGTGTGTTTTAGATTACAATGTAAATATTTAGAACCTAACCTATAAATGGTTTTAACCTGACCTGGCACCTTACGCTGAAGGGTGCAAAATACCACTACTGATGATGATGATGAAGATGATGATGAAGATGACATGTGCTGTCAACCTGGGTTGTTTCTCAAACCAAGTAACACAGTTTGCTCTCTCAATAAATTTGCTAACTCTAATAGGACCAAAGAGCCCCCTGTGCTGTTCTAATAGCCCACTCCAAGGATGTTCAAATGCAATTTTGTATTTGGGACTTAGATGGGCAAAGGAGGAGTGGTTTATTATAGGACATAAGGAGTTTGAGTCTGAAGCTACCATCAGGATAGGCATGCCAGAAGAGATATAAAGAAGTGAAGAACTGAAGGAGATGTTGTTAGGAAGTCTAATATTGTTGCAGAGTTATTGTCGTGTTAGACTTGTTACTTGCCTGTTCAGCAAAGGTTTCCAAGTGACTTACAACATTTAAAAACATAAACAAAAAATTCATAAAAACTTTAACAAATTATGACAAAATGTTGACAAATCCCCCTTTGGATAGGAGTGGAGGTTAACAGCAAAACCCTATTCATGTTTACTCAGAAATAAGTCCAATTTTGTTCAATAGGGCTTACTCCTGAACAAGTGTACTTAGAATTGCAGCCATAACGAGTTTGTGTCAGTTTTGATACTGAATATTCTTTGGCTATGACTTGAAAGTGTGAATATTTATGTTGTGAACTGCCCGGTGAGCTTCGGATGAAGGATGGTATGCAAACTTTAACAACAACAACAACAACAACAACAACAACAACAACAGGTATTTAGTTCCAGAAACTGATGACTAATTATTTCTCATTAGGAATCAACACTGGGCAGTATCTGACAACTGAGTGTAATTAATAAACTTTTGTTGGATTTCACCCATTGATTGACCCAATCAGGGAATGTTCCCTTGGATGGGCCAGACCAGGTCCAGACTGTCATGTTTTGCCTCCTGAGGTAAAATGGGAATGTGCCGCCCCCCCTGCTGCTCCCCACATAAGCCTCATTTAATGGGGTCACATAGCAACTGCAACTTCCGGTAAAATCTTGCAAGGTCTTGCGGGAGCTGTCATGAGATCTTGCATGAGCTCAGCAAGATCTCACGAGAGTTCTGTGAGATCTTGCGAGTTCTCGCTGGAAGCCACCACTGCCTGACCCTTGTGGTGGCAGCAGGGGTGGGCAGAGTCCACGCTGAGAGCCAGTGTGGTGTAGTGGTTAAGAGCGGTAGATTCGTAATCTGGTGAACCGGGTTCGCGTCTCTGCTCCTCCACATGCAGCTGCTGGGTGACCTTGGGCTAG